GCCAAGATGTTTGAATTTATTGCAGTTCAAAACTGTGTTGTTTATGCCAGTGTCATTATTCTCTACATGTAGAATTACAAGGTTGCCACCTGCCTTTGCTGTATCCTCAGCTCCTGTGAGTCACTATACTGTTGACACCTCAGAATGTATGATGTATGTCAGATGCAGTGTTCCTGAGAATAGTGGCTGCATTTGAGTCACTTTTTTCCTGTCTAGATTGCAGATATCACAGTCTTTACAGATGTAGTGTGGGCATTTTTGTAGGGAAAATTGTGTTAAATGCAGAGCAGTTGAATCCCCTTTTTTCTCACAATCCTCAAATCATTTGTTTCATGGCATTGGGTATAGTTGAATTAGTCTTTGTTATAAAGAGAAACCTGAATGTTATGTTTTTTTTTCTTTTCATACATAAAAACATACAAAGAATTATTTTAAAATATCAGTTACAGAGTATGGATGTGTTTGTGTATCTGTGATGGAATCATGGCAGAACCACATTATACTGTGGTGTTCCAAAAAAAATCATGCCTTGATATTAAATTCTTAAGGTAGTCCTCCTGCTTTCTGCAACATTAAATACTTTTCAGTATGTGAAATATGCATAAATATGCATATTCAATGTGAATATGCATATTTGTTTTTATTTTTACGATGTGTGACCTGTGATAGACTGTTGTCCCATCCAGGGTGTACCTCACCTTGTGGCCTTGCTTACTGGGATAGTCTCCAGCTCCCCTACAACCCTGAACTGGACAAAGAGGTTAGAAAATGGATGAGTGGATGATGGCCAAGTCATAGTCCAAAAACCCCATAGAAATGTTGTAACAGGACTTGAAATGAGCTGTACATGTAAGGCACTCCTCAAGTGTCACAGTGTTGAAGGAGTTTTGTAACAAGGTTTGGGGCAAGTTTCCTCAAAAAAATGATTAAAAAATGTCTAATTGCAGAGACACTGAAGCCACATACTAGATACTAAAGGTTCACAGTCTTTGTCACACATAGATATTGAATGCTGAAGCATTCAAGGATAAATCAATGTTGAAAGAGTGTCATGTTTTGTGACATTTATTTGATCAGATTAAGTTTCTTATTAACACTTAGATTAACATCTAATACAATTTTAAATTTCATTATGTGAAATATGTGAAAATTGCACATTATATTATATAATTGCTCTATTATATTAGTAGACATCATTCTTTTTTTTATCTGTAATTGGGAAACCACAGGAAAGGAAAATCTTTACAGGACTGGCCTAAACCTATGAACATAAAGCAGATGAGTATATTTATTTGACTGGTCTGTTATTATCATTTCTTCATTCACCACCTTACTGCTTAAGCAAATCATTTGACTGAACTGATTGGGAAAAATTAACATTTGATGGTCTGCAGGACTCAAGAAACCCATAGTGATCCAGACAGATGCATCAGTAATAGTTTTTTCTTTTCCTATTTCAACAAAACAAGAAGGAACCATTTATGTATCTAATATAGTTCCAACAATGCAAGTTCACCCTTACCATTTCACCTCTCTAATTCAGGGTCCATAACAAGGAGATCAGCATGTGAATTGCGAAATATTTTTCACAGTATTTTCATATTTTACAATTTTTTGTCCATTGTTCAGAATAAAAGCAAAAAAGTACTAATATTTTGTCAAAAAAGCATTTTCTCTGGGCTTCTGGCACTCCTCACTTTGAGTTGGAGGGGAGCATGTATAACACAAAAAGTGGTTGTATGGTGGGGAGTGTATTTGCCACAATAATTCTCCCCCCTTTCAAGCTTGGTTATTCAGGTCTGAACAGTGGCTTACCATGCATATGTACATTAAAGTGGAGAGTGGCAGGTGCTTCTTCTCACAGTTACAATATCATGATTACGTGTTTTTGTTTGATCCTGTCATGGTGATGTAATCCTCAGGAACTGGAAAGACATTGTGAACCCAATGGGTCACATACCATGGCCACATGCAATATCTCCAGTCTTCTAGTTCACCAGATTTGTTGTCTGCCTGTGTGCTGTGCTTTTCTTGTATGTGGAAGGGGGTGAAGGTGAAGATACATGAAGAACGTAACAGGATTAATGCATTCTAAAAATAGCTTTAAAAACACTTCCTTGATATTCATTAGTTATGTTTATTAATTAACAAATAAGAGACACTCATCTGATCTCGAGATGACAATAAGGAAAGTCAAATAAATATATTGGATTATATGTATAAACGAAAAGTAAGTTCCCTGACTAAACGGTGTTCTTGTTTTACAGTATACTTCCTCTTATTCTATACTGTAATATTACTGATTTTGTTTATTGTATGGCTTAGGATGAATGTTTCAGTTTGTGGTTGTTCAATCAGTAAAGATTTTAGTTGATTTTTGACAGTATATAACAAATGTTGATGGCTTAACATCTTAAACATTTTTCTGGCATTTACTGTATAAGCAATATAAGCACTATAAAACCTATTTGGTATCATTAAATTAAATTACATGGTGAAACATCAGTACTTTCATTAAATATATTTCATTCACAACTTTTAATTTTTAAAATTTAAAATTTAAACTTTTAAATTTCAGTTTTGTTTTTTGTTTTTACATTTGAGATTTGACTCTTTGATTTCATATGAGATATTGACTAGCAGTGACAGAAACTGAATAACTTCAAGCATCCCTTGTGGGCAGGTTATGAGAAAAAGTAATGCAAGAATATCTGCCAAGGAACTGAAGATGAACATTTTCTGGTAGAAGTGGAATGGTCATTGCTTAATGTCTCTGGCAGTTGTAAGGGCAAAAAAGCAATTTCAATGGGTTTCTAAAACAATAACAACCCTAAACATGAAATGAATAATTATTTTCTCTATATACAATAACCATTTTAACTAAGTGTTTTTCCTTTCAGTGATTTCAATTCATCTAATTACATAGATTAGTCTATTAATTGAAATTCTCCTGAGTTATAAAAAGAATATTATAGTACCACCGTGAAAAACCTGGTAATTGACATGCACTTTGGGTAAAGAAATTATTTTGTGTAAAAATCATTGAAAACTTGATAAAATGTGACCTTCTAAAAAGTTTCTTTCTAATACGATTAGCATGAAACAGTCACCTGCTGGGCAATTCAGTAATGCCTGCTTTATTAATTGTAGTGCATATTCCAAATAAAGTGTATAAGCTAAACTAAGGTGCTATGACTTGTAAGTAAACTCAGGGCAGGGTCATTAACGATAGGTATTTTTGTAATGATCTTCTTAAATTACTCAAAATAGACCTAACCAAGTCAGCTGGCCTATTGAAAGAAGGACCCTATCCAACTATCAAGAAACATGTGAGCACAATCAGGAAGAACAATATATAAAGGACCCGGAAGGACTCAGGAATGTAGAAGCCAGTAGATGGATGCAAGTAGTAGCAAGTTTTGTGTGAATAGAGTAATTGATGTTTAATTTGAATTTAAGGAATAATGAATTGGAAGGGAATAGACAACGATTTACGGATTGTGAGTTTTGCACAAATACTTGAATGCTCTTAAACGGCTACTGGCGAGAACAGAAACGGACATTGGTTTATGGTTTACGGATTCTGAATTGGATACAAAGAAGAAGAAAAAGGAATAAGGAATAACATTTATAGTTATAGTGTGAGTCGTTTTATTTGCCTTTTGATTATACTTTTCAATCCCCCTGTGACACCACAGACTGAAACTAAATTTCCTCTAAACTGTGCACATTAAAGCGCCATAAAACAAAATCATTGAAAGGATTTAATGAGGTTTCTTTACCCATTTAATGAAAGTGGAATAACAGGTACAACAAAAAAAGCTCTACAACACTGCATGTTTATCCAAAAATATGTTTAACAAACAAAATTACAACAATAAACCACAATAATGTATTCAGTATAATCAATATAATCAGAACATGTATTCCATTTACCTAATAACTGACTACTGAGAAACATTACCAACAATAAATATGTTTCTGCTAATAGTTTTTGATAATAGACAGATGCATGTAATATTGCATTATTTGACATTTGGATTCACCCTTTGAGGTTTTCTGTTTTAAACTCTTTTCCTCTGATTCACTCAAGGAGAGCTGGTGATGAGCTCTTGCAATACAGCTCATTGCTCACAGACTATTTGTCAGGCTGGGCCAGATCCAAGCCATGACTTTCTGGCATCACAACTTGTGAGGTACTAGCCACAGGCCAGAGGAGGATTTATTAGTTTTATTATTACATTACATCTTTTCAAGAACAAGTAGTATGAAAAGTACAGTGGGTGGGAAACATTGCATGCATAATGTACCTATCCTACGTCCTATAGTTATTCAAGATGATGGCATTAGAGATTTAGATAGGGAAACCACAAGCAAGATAAGGTCAATTTTCTACTCTGAAATAAGAAATTGTTTGTCAGATAGTAGTTGTTACAACCATTAATTTTATTTTGTATACTTTATACAAAATTAAATTGCATTTTGTTTCACTGATTGTCAACTCTTAAATTAGTTTGGAAATCAGCATAGGAAATAGTTGTAGGAAGATCTGAAAAGGCGTTAATTGTTGTCAGGAAAGCTACATTAATTTAAGATGCTGTAAAGAAACAGCACAGCTGCTTCTCATCTACAAAATATAGATCTCAGCCTGAAATTGTACCAAATATCAAAAAAGTGTTTAAATCAGTTTTATGTAGTTCATGCAGCAAGTGGATAATTTGGGAAGAAC